TCGAGTAAAGAGAGGCGAGGCCCGATCTCATTTCCTAACTCCCGGCCCAGTGCTGGGTTTCCGACGCCGGGACGCCGGGTGCGAGAGACCCAGGGAAGCAGGGGTGGCCAGTGACCTCGGTTCTGACCTGTCTGAGGCCCAAGCCCCTCTGTTTGCTGGCTCCCGGCGCCCGGCCAGAGCTGACCCCCTCCACGCCTCCGCCTCACCCCCCGGGCCTCCGAGCCTCCCCGCTCCATCAGCACAGCCATCGAGACCTTTACCGTGAAAATCAGCCGGCGGGGGCCCTCGGGGCTAACTCTTCGCCAAGCGGCACGCTGAGGGTCCACGTTCGGGTTCTGTTTTGTCACACGAAGGCCGGAGGCCCCGGAAAGCCGTGAGGCCCCGGTACCCACAGGCCCGCACGAAGGCTGGTTCGCTAGGCCCTCCGTGCCAGAGGGTGGGGCTGACAGGTGACGCGAGTGATGTCTCTATGGAGAAACCCTCTCTTCTCCTTCGAACTGCCAGTCAGTCATCACAGAGCCTCTCTCTCTCAGATTTATTTTCTAAATCGGACGACTGCCCCCGGGTTATCTGCGTATCGGCGGTGTGTTCTCCGCTAGAACCCGAGACCCGCACACCAGGTAAGAGCACTGCAGTCGCTTCACAGTCTGCCGGACCTGGGTTGCATTCCTGGCTCTGGGCTGTGGACTCTGAGGGTAATTTTACTTTGTGTCTCAGCTACTTTGGGGTGTGATGGGCTGAGTATCTGTGTCCCCCCAAAATCCACATGCTGAGGATTTAACTCCCCGGTGATAATATCAGAAGGGGGGCCCTTTGGGAGGGAATTACATGTCGACAAGGCCATGGGGGTGGGGCCCCCACGATGGGGTTAGTGCCCTTATAAGACGAGACCAGGCAGTTAGCTCCCCTTCTCTCCCCAGGGGAGGACGCAGCCCGAGGGGCCACCTGCAAGCCAGGCGTGGAGTCTCTCCAGGAACCGAGTCAGCTGGCACTGTGAGCTTGGACCCTCCGGCTTCCCGAACTGTGAGAAACACATTTCTGTTGCTTAAGCCACCAGGTCAGTGGCGTTTTGTTACCACAGCGGAACTGGCTGATACGGGGGGTGATGAGAGTTCTGCTTCTCGGGGGCTGTTGGAGGTCGGTGGCAGAAAGATGCCAGTGGACAGGCAGAGTGTGGAAGGGCACCAAGCGGAGGCCAGGGCACACTGGGCGTCCCCGAGGGCGATCATCCTCATACAGACACAGCTTATAGCTCTCCCCCACATCACCTGTCAGTGTGCCTGGTCTCAGCAGACACGCAGCAGCCGTTTATAATCAGAGGGCGAATGACCGACCGATGCTGAAGGCGAGAAGCGTGTGTGCTCTTCAACACGCAGGCGGGCCCTCTCCGTATCAGGCGTGTCCTCCCCATGACAGGCATGTCCTCTCCATGACAGGCGTGTCCTCTCCGTGACAGGCATGTCCTCTCCATGACAGGCTTCCCTTCTCCCTGACAGGTGTGCCTTCTCCGTGACAGGCGTGTCCTCCCCCTGACAGGCATGTCCTCTCCGT